GGGTAAGGACTGGGTGAGGACTGGGGGGCGGGGGGGGGGCAGGGCGGAGACAGAGGAGCCGGTGTGTGGGGCACACGTGATTACCGGAGGGAGGGAGGGAGGGGTGGGTGATGGCTGGAGCAGCAGCGGCGGCTCGGGAGGCTGAGGTCTGAGGGTCGTGGTTCAAGGCCAGCCCGGGAGGCAGAGCCCCTGAGACTTTATTTTTTTTTTTAACCACCGAAAAGCCTCCGATAGAGGTGTGGCTCACGTGGTCGCGCTCCCAGGCCTCAAGTGAGTGTGAGGTCCTGGGTTCAAGCCCCAGTACCATACACATAAGAAGTGTTTCGGCTCGGGCCCAGCGTGGAGGCTGAGCCCGACTCCCAGGCTTCTTAAAGGCAGGCTCCCCCTCTCCCCCCTCTCCCTCCTCCCCGTCCTTGTCTTCCCTTCCTTCCACGCTCTTCCTTTTCCCTGACCAGCGCCAATGGGTGTTTGAAACCCGAAGGGTAGCCCCCAGGAGACCCGAAGACGTTCTCTCTAGACTGTTTTTGTCTTTTCTTTTGGTACCCGGGGCTTGAACTCAGGGCCCGGGCGCTGCCCCTGAGCTTTGCACTCGAGGCTGGTGCTCTACCCACGGAACCACAGCTCCCCTTCGCGTTTTGTGCGGCTCGTTGGAGACCGAGGTCTCCCAGACTTTCCTGCCTACGCTGGCTTTGAACCCAGGTCCTCGGATCTCGGCCTGCGGAGCGGCTGGGATGGCAGCCGTGCAGGGGAGCGGTGGGCAGCGTCTTCCCGCGTGACCCCAAGCTCGCCCTTCTCCTGACATCGTCTCCCCCACACCCCAGCCCCCCCCCCCGCCCCCCCCCTTCTCCAGCGGCTCCCGTCGGGCCTCGCTGTCAGCTCAGCGGGCTCAGCAGCCCGCCCAGCCTCCAGCCCAGCCCGGCCTCGCTGTCAGCTCAGCAGCCCGGCCTCCAGCCCAGCCGGGCCTCGCTGTCAGCGGGCTCAGCAGCCCGCCCAGCCTCCAGCCCAGCCCGGCCTCACTGTCAGCGGGCTCAGCAGCCCGGCCTCCAGCCCAGCCGGGCCTCGCTGTCAGCTCAGCAGCCCGCCCGGCCTCCAGCCCAGCCCGGCCTCGCTGTCAGCGGGCTCAGCAGCCCGCCCGGCCTCCAGCCCAGCCCGGCCTCGCTGTCAGCTCAGCAGCCCGCCCGGCCTCCAGCCCAGCCGGGCCTCACTGTCAGCGGGCTCAGCAGCCCGGCCTCCAGCCCAGCTGCCGCCGGCTGTCTGCGTGCTGTCAGCCGTCCCTCCCTCCCTCATCTCCTTCTGTCCATCTGTCAGGGGCCCCACCGTACCCGGAAGTCCCTCCCACCAGCATCCTGCAGCATCTTCAGCGGAGGAGGATCATGAAGAAGCCCAGCAGCTGCTCGCATACCATGTGAGTGGCGTTCACACCGGCCAGCTCGGCTCTAGTCCCAAAGCTTTCCCTTTCCTTCACCGTCCCTCACCTGCTTCCTCCTCCTCCCCGTCCTCCCCCATCTCCTCCCCTCCCCCTCCTCCCCTCCCCCTCCTTCTCCCCTCCCCTCCCCCTCCTCCATCTCCCCCTCCTCCTGCCCTTCCTCCTCCTCCTCCCCCTCCTCCTCCATCTCCCCCTCCTCCCCTCCTCCTCCTCCCCATCTCCTCCCCCTCCTCCTCCTCCTCCCCCTCCTCCCCTTCCCCTCCCCCTCCCCTTCCTCCTCCCCCTCCTCCCCTTCCCCTCCCCCTCCCCTTCCCCCTCCCCCTCCTCCTTCCCCTCCTCCTCCTCTTCCTCCCCCTCCCCTTCCTCCTCCTCCCCCTCCCCTTCCTCCTCCTCCCCCTCCCCTTCCTCCCCCTCCTCCTCCCCCTCCTCCAGTAGTGGTACATGTCAGTTTATGAGTGCACCACATCTTGATCCAGGTCCCCCCTTCCATTCCCCCCCCCCCCCCGTGGGGTACAGATGCTTCCTAGTTGTTCTAAGGTGCTAACTGCAGGCTCGGCTTCAAGGCCTGAGTAAGACGCTCGATCATGTGCGGTGTTTGCATATCTTATCGTACCCGCAGGGTCCCCACCCAGCTGCCCAGATCACCACTAAGAGCTGTGGTAGGAATCTAATGGTGTGTGTGTGTGTGTGTGTGTGCGTGTGCACACACCAGTCCTGAACTCAGGGTCTGGGCACGCTCCGTGAGCTTTTGTGCTCAAGGCTGGTGCTCTGCCACTTGATCCACAGCGCCACCTCTGGCTTTTTCATAGTTGATTAGAGGTAAGAGGCCCACAGACTTCCTATCCGGGCTGGCTTTGAACTGTGATCCTCAGAGTCCATCTTCCCGAATAGCTGGGATTAGAGGCGTGAGCCTCTAGCCGCGCTTCACGGTGTCATTCTTATTATCAAACAAGTCCTGTGAAGATGTTGGAATGAAGACACTCGGTTTTAGGAGGAGGAAAAGGTGTATCAGCCTCTAGGAATAATAAAAAGACGGACCGAGCAAAGACAGGATTAAAGATAATCCCAGCCACTCCAGTGGGTAGGATATGAGGATCAAGGTTCAAAGCCAGCCCTGGGCCCAAAAGTCTATGTGAGTCTTCGCGCCAGCGAACCAGCCAAAAGCTGGAGGTGGCGCTATGGCTGACGTGGCAGAGCTCCAGCCGGGATTGCGAAGCCAAGCGGGGCCAAGGCCGTGCGTTCACGTCCGGTGCGGGACACACTCACACACACTCACACGGCCGCTGTGCCTCCCGCCCTGCCCAGGTACAACATCATGAAGCGGTGCTGGCGCTGGAGCCCGGCCGGCCGGCCGCTGCCCGGGGAGCTGTGCGTGCAGCTGGAGGCGGCCGCCGGGACGGCCGATGACCAGCGCGTCCTGCAGGTGCCGGAGCTGGTGGTGCCCGAGCTGTACGCGGCCGTGGCCGGCGTCCGCCTGGACAGCCTGGCCTGCACCTACAGCATCCTCTGAGCCTCGTGTCCAGGGGTCCCAGCGCGCCTCCTACACACCTCAAAGCAGCACCCGCCGCCGGCCCGGGCTCCCCCGCTGCCCGGGCCTGGAGGGCCAGCGCAGTGGACGTTGAGAAGAACCCACGGCAGCACCGGCACCACGGGCCTGCCACCCCGGCGACTCAGCGGGCCGAGCTCTGACCATGCGGCTCACAGCCGGCCGGGCGGGACACCGCCGGGAGACTCCGCTCGGCAGTGCAGCACCCACAACGCCAGAGGCCGCTCGAGTGGCGGGGCGCTAGCCTTGACAGAAAAGGCTCAGGGACAGTTCTCCAGGCCCTGAGTTCAAACCCCAGGGTTGGCATGCGCGCACGCACACACACACGAACACACATGCATGCACACACACGCACATGCACGCGCACACACATGCACACACACGCACATGCACGCGCACACACATGCACACACACGCACATGCACGCGCACACACATGCACACACACAGATGTGCACACACATGCACACAGAGATGCACACACATACATACACACACGCACATGCACACACACACGAACACACATGCGTGCACACACGCACACACACATGCACACACGCACGCACACGCACACATGCGCGCACACACACATGCACACATGCACACGCATGCACACACAGATGCACACACACACGCACATGCACACATGCACATACACACACACATGCACACACACACACACATCTGCCATGCTTGTTGGAGCCTGGCAGATTAGTTTACTCCTGGACAATGCTTTTTTTCCCCTCCTCTTCTTCCTCTTCCTCCTCCTCCTCCTCTTCTTTTTTTAAAATTGTGAACATACTGTACAGAGGGGTTATAATTACATGGGCAAGATGATGAGTACATTTCTTATCCAGCATTGCAGCCTCCTCCTTTGTTTCCCCTTCCCATCCCTTCCCCCCCTCCCCACCCCCCCCAAAGTCGTAAAGTTCGTTTTTGACATAATGACTTGTACTTCTCATTGTTGCAATGGGTCCACCTGTATCCCTATTTAAACGATTTGTTTTTCCCTTCCTCTCCACAAATTATACCAACATCAAATACAGTGAAAGCAGGGGTTATACTCTGTGGGAGGAACTTACAAAGCAACAAAGAAATCATCTTATAAATGCGTTAGAAACAATCTCATGAAAGAAAAAAATGATTTGAATACATATCTTAGGTTCATTTCCCTAACATCACCTTATCTGACCGTTTTGCTTGACTCAGACTTATACTACACTATTACTAAGAAATAGAAATGGAGGGGCTGGGCAGGTGGCTCAGTGGTAGAGCGCTTGCCTTGCATGCCTGAGGCCCTGGGTTTGATTCCCCAGCACCACAAAAGTAAAAAGAAAAAAGCCGGAAGTGGCGCTGTGGCTCAAGTGGTAGAGCGCTAGCCTTGAGCTGCAGAGCTGAGGGACGGCGCCCAGGCCCAGAGTTCAGGCCCACGACCGGACCAAAAAAAAAAAAAAAGAAATGGAAATGGAGTGAAGGGAGGACCTGGTGAGAAAGGGATTTCAAGGTCGCGTTAGCTGAGAAGCACAGGTGCAGACCAGAGCTGGCCAGGGTGGCCATGTCTGCAGACAGGGCCTCATCCACCCCTCAGTCCTGGTGGACTAAAACGGCTGAAGGAAACCTTGAGAGTCTCACCTTGGGTATGTAATCTACTGAGGCCGGGCGCCGGGGCTCACGCCTGAAATCCTAGCCACTCAGAGGATCGCGGCCCGGGAGACTCAAACCCCAATGAGCTGCCCACAGGCCGGCGCTGGCCGTGAGCCTGAAAAGCCCAGGGACGGCTGGGTCAGGCCCGAGGTCAGGCCGCAGGCCTGGCGCGGGAGCTTCCTGCGTTCTCCACACCGGAGCTGACTAAGATCCAACTCAAATACCACCTCCCGTCGCGCACTTCCTCCACCGGCTCTGTGCTGGCCAGTTCCAGGCTCCCCGGGCAATAAAAGGCCTTTCCTCTTCTACGGTACCCCGGGCGGGTGTGTGTATAGATATGTGTGTGGGTGTGTTTACACACACAGGTTCCTCTTTAAAGTGGTGGCTCTGTGTGCAGCCTGCTGCCCTCCCCGCTGGTCCCCCGCTGCCCTCCCCCGCTGGTCCACCCGCTGCCCTCCCCGCTGGTCACCCGCTGCCCTCCCCCGCTGGTCCCCCGCTGCCCTCCCCCGCTGGTCCCCCGCTGCCCTCCCCCGCTGGTCACCTGCTGCCCTCCCCCGCTGGTCCACCCGCTGCCCTCCCCCGCTGGTCACCCGCTGCCCTCCCCGCTGGTCACCCGCTGCCCTCCCCCGCTGGTCCCCCGCTGCCCTCCCCCGCTGGTCACCCGCTGCCCTCCCCGCTGGTCACCCGCTGCCCTCCCCGCTGGTCACCCGCTGCCCTCCCCCGCTGGTCACCCGCTGCCCTCCCCCGCTGGTCACCCGCTGCCCTCCCCCGCTGTCCACCCGCTGCCCTCCCCCGCTGGTCACCCGCTGCCCTCCCCCGCTGGTCACCCGCTGCCCTCCCCCGCTGGTCACCTGCTGCCCTCCCCCGCTGGTCACCTGCTGCCCTCCCCCGCTGGTCCACCCGCTGTCCACCCGCTGTCCACCCGCTGTCCACCTGCTGTCCACCCGCTGTCCACCCGCTGGTCTCACCTGCTCTCCTCCATGTCCAGCTGTTTTTCCGGATGAAGCCAATGGGAGGAGGGGGGAGTGGGGAAGGGGAGGGGGGAGGGGGAGGGGGGAGGGGGGAGGGGAGAAGGGGGAGGGGGGAGCGTGTATGGGGGAGAGAAGGGGAGGAGACTGATAGAGGGAGTGACCACCACCTGCCAATCCTTGGAAACTCACAGAGAGCGCCACGCCCACAGCGCGTATTGCCATGACAACCTGGGGCGGGACTATAAACCACCCGCCAATCCTCCTCAGTCCGTCTCAAGGCCACGCCCACAGCGCCAGTTGCCAGGACAACCCGGGGGCGGGACTAAAGCCCGCCCGCCAATCCTCCGGGTCCGTCTCAAGGCCACGCCCTTTGGGGCGGGCACGCGGGGGGGGGGGGAGGACGCCACGCTCCGGCGGCCGGCAGGGCGGGCGAACCCCGCCCCCGGCCCCGCCCCCCGCCCCGCCCCCGCCCCCGCCCCCGGCCCCGCCCCCGGCCCCACTCCTGGCCCCGCCCCCGGCCCCGCCCCCGGCCCCGCCGCGCTCCGCCGCGCGCGCCGCGCCTCCCCGGGGCGGCTCGGGCAGGGGAAGGGACGGGCGCGCTCCGGGGATGCCCGGCCGCGCGGTCCTGCGCGGTGACGTCACGCCCGGCGCCCGCGCGTCCCGCCGGCTCCGCCATGGCGCCGGGCAGCGACTTCTACCTGCGCTACTACGTGGGGCACAAAGGCAAGTTCGGACACGAGTTCCTGGAGTTCGAGTTCCGGCCGGACGGTGAGCGGCGGCGGCGGCGGGGCCGGGGGGCGGGGCCGGGGCTGGGCCGGGGGCGGGGCCGGGGCGGGGCGGGGGCGGGGCGGGGGCGGGGCGGGGGCGGCCCGTTCCTTCATTCCTTCATTCATTCATTCATCAACTCTGGACTCTCAGCTCATTCATTCACAGTCTTGGGCCACCTTCATTCCTTCATTCATTCATTCATCCACTCTGGACTCTCAGCTCATTCATCAAGTCTCTGGACCCCATTCATTCATTCATTCATTCAGTGTCTTCGGACTAGCTTACAGATCATTCCCTCTTGAAATTATCCGGTGATCTCAGTCATTCCTTAGACAGTCTGCGTTATCTTTTAGTTCATTCATTCATTCACTCAAACGCTTTTGGCAGTGTTTTAGTCCATCCATCCATCCATTCATTATTCTTTTTTGGGGGGGGTCCGGTCGTGGGCCTGAACTCTGGCTGGGTGCTGTCCCTCAGCTCTTCAGCTCAAGGCTAGCGCTCGACCACTTGAGCCACAGCGCCACTTCCGGCTGTTTTTCTTTTTGCTTATGTGGTGCTGAGGAATCGAACCCAGGGCCTCAGGCATGCAAGGCAAGCGCTCTACCACTGAGCCACCTGCCCAGCCCCTCACTCATTATTCTTAAAAATCATGGGGTGCCTTTAAGTCCATCTACCATCCTTTCGTTCAGGTGTATGTGTTAAGGCTACTTGATCGGGGGGAAAGTCTGATGTGTAAACAAAGAACTAGTGTGTTTGAGGTGCCAAAATATGATTATGGACCATAGAATAAATGAGCAGTTCCCCTCCCCCCCTCCCTAAATGGAGGAGAGAAAAACTTCTAGAGGAGGCACCTGTGATGAGCTTTGAAGTAAGAGCGAATTTCTTGCTGTCTGAGGGAAGGAAATGTGGGCTTGCATTGTCGGTAGCAGTTCCGCGTTCTGACAGAACATTTTCTCTAGAGAATGTTCCTGTATATTGAATTCTAGCTGCCATGATGACAGCCTGGCAGTAGAGATTTTGGGGTTTTCAATGTGCTTGAGTAGTGGTGTAAATATGAAAACGGAATCCTTCTCTCACTCAGGTCAGGTGGGTTAAAGCTGGCCGGAAGTACACGCGTAACAGCTTACCTAGGAAGAGCTCTGTGCATGCTTCAGCAAGCTTCTATGAGAGTGTGAATGAAAAATTAGGAATTGTATACTAAAAAAGTGTCAAGCATTTTTCCCCCTGTGTCTTTGTCAGTAATAGTGCTCAAATTTAGTGCCTGGAGCACTTACTTTTTTCACTCAAGTCTAGTGGTCTGCTACTGGGTCCACACCCGCTCTCTGCTGGCTTTTTGCTAGTTACTTGGAAATAAGGCATCTCATGGACTTTTCTGCCTTGGCTGGCATCGAACTTTGATCCTCAGATCTCAGCCTCCTGAGTAGATAGGAATCATATAGCCTGTCAATACCAATTTAGCCAGTCACTTAAATGAAGAACCCCCAAGTTACTGGTGCAGTTTCACCTACCTGCCACTACTTCTAGTCTGCTTCTTCTGGTAATACCGAGTCACAGAAACTACACTTCCAGAACACATATTCTGTTTACAGGACGGGGAGCGTAGCTTCGCTGTTTCCCTGTAGAGAAGCATGCACCCGTGAGTACACAAGTCACAAAGGATGGAAATCAATTAACAACGGAACTTCCCCCCCGCCCCCCCAGAAGCAGCACCTAGTTCCTATGCTTCCTAGTTCTAGAAAGGAAGCCATCACCAGTGGGCAGTGGGTGGGGAGGGACCTGCTGGAGGTGGGCAAGAAAAAGGGGGGGGGGGCGAATATGATGAAGTACTTGACACGTGTGTGAAACTAGAATGTGAGAGCTGTTGAAATCGTCTAGCCGGGTGCCAGGGGCCCACACCTCTCATGCCAGCCACTCAGGAGGCTGAGATCCGAGGATCCAGGTTCAAAGCCAGCCCAGACAGGAAAGCGTGTGAGACTCGTGTCTCCAATGAACCACCAGAAAACTGGAGTTGGTATTGTGGCTTAAAGTGGTAGAGCACTAGCTTTGAGCAAATGAGCTTCGGGACCGCCTAGGCCCTGGGTTTAAGCCCCATAACCAACCAAAAAAAGTATTTTTTTTAAAGCGGGGAGAGAGATAAGGAAACACCCCAGAGAAACCCTGCTGTTCAGTGACCATCTGCTAATAAAAGCAAACACAGTAATTATACATGAACTTAAAGGAAAATGAGAGAAAGCATGAGTATCGGAGAAAAGTAAGACCAGATCGTAGACTCGTGACTGCAGAATTAGTGAGAGAATAGAACTGCTCTTTAGAGTTATTTTCAGATTATGTGTTTTGGAGAAAGTGGTATGGCTTATGAAGCCAGCCCTGGCGAGGACCCGTTAGAAGCCAGGTGCGCTTATGCATGCCCGTCATCCTGGCTACGCGGGACTCAGGTTTGAGGCTAGCCTTAGAACTGTTTCTGAGACAGTAAGACCCTGTCTCAGAAATAAGCCAGGTGTGGTTGGGTGTGCCTGTACGGGCAGCTGCGGAGAAATAGGAGGATTATCTGGAGGAATAAAAAGAAAAAAGAAAAGCAAGCAGGGAGACTGCTTGCCTAGGAAGTTTGAGGTTCAGAGTTCAAGTCTTCATATTGCCAAAACAAAAAACCCCAGAGATTCCCCCCCCACACACTCCCCAAAAGGCTCATGGCATGATGCTGCTCCGTTGCATATTGGGTAGCTGGACTTTAACTTACTAGCCAGTATCTACCAAGTTACTGGTGTTCAGTATTAATGCTGTGCTAAGAGGAACTATTGGTGAGAGTGGTAGTATAAAAATGCTCTTTACCTTTAACGTTGCCTGCATTGTTAATTTTATTTTGTAACAGTTGTTATTGCTAAAGGTAATTGTTTTCTGCCCCCGCCCCCACAGGAAAGCTTAGATATGCCAACAACAGCAATTACAAAAATGACGTCATGATCAGAAAGGAGGTAAGTGACTTTCGGATGCCAGAATTTTTATATTTCAAGCAGGGCACTGTGGCTCACGCCTGTCATCCTAGCTACTCAGGAGGCTGAGATCTGAGGACCAGGATTCCAAGCCAGTCCAAGACAGAAAGGTCCATGAGACTCTTACCGGCAATTAACCAGCAAAAAGCTAGAAGTGAAGTTGCGGTTCGAGCAGTAGTGCCTGGCCTTGAGAAGAAAAAGCTGATGGACCATGCCCAGGCCCTGAGTTCAAGCATTAGTACCAGCTCAAAAAAAAAAATAGTTTTTACATTTCAGTTTCCTTGTGTCTGTGTCAAATTCACCAAAGTTTCTTTATGGCGGTATTTTAAAAAAACCAACCAATCTACAGATTGAAAAGGTTCCATTTCAATTAGATATTAACAGCAGAAGAAGCAACCTGAATATATTTGCCTGTATTATTGAGTTCATGTTTGAGTTTATTCATTGTGTTAGTAAAGCAACGCCTGGCAGAGCTGGTACACACCCCACACCTGTGGCGGGGGGGGGGGGGGGGGAGGGCGTGTGAGGGGGGGCGGGGGGGGGTGAGGGGGGAGGGGGGAGGGGGCGGGGCGGGGGGGAGGCGGGAGGCGGGGCGTGTGCCAGCAGGTGCAGTCGGGCTCTGTGGTCACAGAGGCCGGGGAGTTGGCCTCTGTAGCTGTGCCAGGACTTTCCACCCCTGTGTCCTGGATACTCGGTCCCTCGGGTCCTCTGTCACACTGCGTTATCTCTTGGGTCCAGAGTGCCGTGAGGTTTGGCCTGTTTACTACATTGGGTCGTGTGGCTTAGATGTCTGAGCCTCTGTCAAAGGAAGGGCTTTACTCTGCCTCCTTTAAGACAGGACTCGCTCCTTGCAGTAAATAGTCTCCTTTGCAAACACTTCTGTGATAAAAAAATAAACAGGGCTGGGAAGGTGGCCTAGGGGTAGAGCGCTCGCCTAGCCTGCATGAGGCCCTGGGTTCGATTCTTCAGTACCACAGACACAGAAAAAGCCAGAAGTGGCGCTGTGGCTCAAGTGGTAGCGCGCTAGCCTTGAGTAGAAGAAGCTCAGGGACAGCGCCCAGGCCCTGAGTTCAAGCCCCAGGGCTGACAAAAATAAACAGTTGATAAAATTGGTAAGCAGTTGTTTATTTCCCCGCTGTTGGTGCTCTAGAGTCAAACCTGGGCCCTGTGCTTGCTAGGCAGGTGCTCCACGCGCGAGCTGTGCCTTTCAGCCCTTTTTGCTTTGTTTTTCAAATAGGGTTGGCACCTATGCACACACCTGTGCGATCTTTTTGTTCGCATTTCCTGAGTACCTGGGACAACAGGCCTGTGTTGTTGTGGTTGAGATGAAGGTCTTGTGAACTTTTTGCCCTAGCTGGCCTTGAACCTCGACCCTTTCAGTCTCTGCTCCCAAGCGGCTAGCATTACAGGCGTGAGCCGGCGCAGTCTGCTAGCACAGATGTCGTCGCCATTTCCTAGTCTGGGCTGGGTGCCGGGGAGAAGGGAAATGGCTGCTCTTTTTCCTTTTCCTAGAGGTCGCAGCTTGGGGAGGGAGGCAGAAGGTAAGAACGCGGAGCCGCTGCTTCCCGAGCGGCCGTTGGTTAGTGCAGTGCCCGCCGTCCTGTCTCTGAGCTGCCTGCTGGCGACGGCGTGGACCAGTGGCGGCGGAGGCCAGGACAGCAGAGGGGATGACCCTGCACCGAAGGGATCAGAATCCTTTTTTGTTTTTCTCAGTCCTGGGGCCTGGGCGCTGCCCCTGAGCGCTTCGGCTCAAGGCTAGCGCTCTACCACTCTGAGCCACAGCGCCACTTCTGGTTTTCTGCGTAAGAGTCTTAGGCTGTCCAGGCTGGCTTCGAACCTTGATCCTCAGATCTCAGCCTCCTGAGTGGCTAGGATGACAGACATGTTTGTTTTTTTTTAATGATACTCTGTGTAGTTCAGATTTGTATTTTTCTCTCTCCCTTCCTGCGGAGGTGTGGGAAGACAGTTGAAGACGGTCCCAATTCATTTCCAGGCGTACGTCCACAAGAGCGTGGTGGAGGAGCTGAAGAGAGTCATCGAGGACAGTGAGGTCACAGAGGAGGACGATGCTCTGTGGCCAGCCCCGGACAGGGTTGGGCGGCAGGTTTGTGCCGAGGGGCTCCGTGCGTCACCAGGCCCGGTGGCCCCGGGGCCCCGGTCACCCCAGCTGCCCCAGAGGCTGAGATCTGAGAACCTGCGGCAAAGCCAGCCCAGGAAGGGAGGGTCTGTGACCCCGGTCTCCACTTTACAGACGCCAGAAAGCCAGGAGCAGAGCTGTGGGTCAAGCGGTAGCGCAGCAGCCCTGAGTGGGGGAATGCAGGGACAGGGCCCCGGGCTCAGAGCTGAAGCTCTAAGACCAGGGGAGGTGTGCACACGTGCGCACACACGCACAGTTGATCGTAATGGTGCAATGCTGCCCCTTCTTCATGATTCCTTTTTATTTCCAGTCACTTAACCTCATTTTCTTTGCTTCATCCCTCTCTCCTTTCCTGTAAATCGAACTCAGGACCTCAAAGCTGCTGTTGAAACTCCCAGCTGAGGTATGCCCCAGCACTGCCTGAACCGCACAGTTAGACATTGTCTGCGCTGTCTGCCGCCACCAGCTGAGGCTGGGCCGGTCTCACCCTGTGGTGAAGCATTTCCACCATCATCTAATTGCTTCATAGGAGTAAATGTCTTAATTACTTAATAGCATTAAAAGCACTATTGCTAGTTAAAACAGAATCAGGACTTTTTTTTTTTTTTTTTTTTTTGGTTGGTCCTGGGGCTTGAACCCTGGGCCTGGGCGCTGTCCCTCAGCTCTTCAGCTCAAGGCGAGTGCTCTACCACTTGAGCCACAGCAACACTTCTGGTTTATTGGTGGTTCATTGGAGATAAAAAATCTAGAGGCTGGGAATGTGGCTCAGTGGTAGAGTGCTTGCCTCTCATGCATGAAGCCCTGGGTTCGTTTCCTCAGTACCACATACACAGAACAAGCTAGAAGTTAGGCCCCACGACTGACCAAAAAAAAAAAAAGAAAGGAATCCATGGACTGTCCCTGCCCGGGCTGGCTTTGAACCACAATCCTCAGAGCTCAGCCTCCTGAGTGGCTTCGGATGACAGGCGTGAGCCACTGGCGCCCGGCGGAATCAGGGCTCACACTGAGTCTATCCGATTCACCTTCTGCCTATGGAGTAACTTTCAGGAGGCGAGAAAGTACGTATGCATATATATTAACTCTCAGCATTGCTTAAACTAACTGTGGAGTTTGCTGTCTCCCATTCTCCACAGAAGAGCTGATGCTTCTCACTGGGCTTCTGAGGGGGTGTGGGGGCCGAATTTCGCTCTGCAGACAGAGTGTGTGAGTTGGGTCTTCTCAGCTTCTGGAGAGAGGAGAGAGGAGCCTGGCAGCAAGAAGCAATTCTTTTCCTTGTGAATTCCTAAAGGCTCTGTTAACCCGCCTTGTTTGACTAGAAAAAGTGCACCTTGACTCTTCTATTGAAAGGAACATTGTTGCCTGGCATTGGTGACTCACGCCTGTCATCCCAGCTACTCAGGAGGCTGAGATCTGAGGATCACAGTTCAAAGCCAGCCTGGGCAGGAAAGGCTGAGAGACTTTTTTTTTTTTTGGGTCCGGTCGTGGGGCCTGAACTCTGGGCCTGGGCGCTGTCCCTCAGCTCTTCAGCTCAAGGCTAGCGCTCTACCACTTGAGCCACAGCACCACTTCCAGCTTTTTTCTTTTTTGCTTATGTGGTGCTGAGGAATCGAACCCAGGGCCTCAGGCATGCAAGGCAAGCGCTCTACCACTGAGCCACCTTCCCACCCCCGGCTCTGAGACTTTTATCTCCAGTAAACCACCAGAAAACTGGAAGTGACACTGGGGCTCAAGTGGTAGAGCGCCAGCCTTGAGCTGAAGAGCTGAGGGACAGCGCCCAGGCCCAGAGTTCAAGCCCCACAACTGAAAAAAAAAAAAAAAAAAAAAAACCCAACAAAAAAGGATCATTGCTCAGGGAAGCAGAGGTAACAGCAGTATTTATTGTATAGGTTGTGTCACTTCTATTTTGTAGATCGTATCACTTTTATTTTGTGCCAGTCCTGGGGCTTGAGTGCAAGGCCTTCTTTACGGCTCCCCAGCTCCCCCCCCATCCCCCCATCTCCACTCAAGGCCGGCTCTCTAAACTTTGAGCCACAGCTCTGCTTCCAGCTTTTTGCTGGTTCATTGGAGATCAGAGTGTCACCGACTTTCCTGCCCGGGCTGGCTTTGAACTGCGATCCTCAGACCTCAGCCTCCGGAGTCGCTGGCATGACACGCACAGTCGCAGTGTCTGGCTCCTCCGTCCCTTCCCTTCTCTTTCCTTTCTTTTCTTTTTTTTGTCGGTCATGGGGCTTGAACTCTGGGCCTGGGCGCTGTCCTTGCACTCTTCAGCTCAAGGCGAGCGCTCTAACGCATGAGCCACAGCGCCACTTCCAGTTTTCTAGCATTTATTGGAGATGAGAATCTCACGGACTTTCCTGCCCAGGCTGGCTTTGAACCGTGATCCTCAGACCTCAGCCTCCTGTGGAGCTGGGATGACAGGTGTGAGCCGCTGGTGCCCGGCTGCTCAGCCCCTTTCTGTGTGGATAATTTCTGAGAAGAGGCCTCGTAGGATGACGGGCAAGCCCGGACTTCCTAGCTTGCTGGGATGACCGGCATACTCCGCTGTACCATTGTCTAAGATGGGGTCTCTTCTTCAACTCAGTATAACTATGCTACTGTGACCTCGATGCAATCACTCAATGTCAGTGAAGCAATGCTTGGAGAGAGAAAAAAACAAGATGAGGTCTCTTAAAACTTTTTTTTTTTTTTTAACTCATTCTGGCTTCAAACTGATTTCCGGAGCTGCACCTCCTGACTCGCTGGGATTTCGTGCCTGAGCCAAAAGAACACCGATCGTTTGAATCAAATCTCCATAGTACCACTTCGTGGTTATTAATATCAGCTGTGTTTTCCTACATTTAATGAATTTTGGATTAGACAGTTACAAGCCTCCCAAAACCCACGTTAGCTAGACCTGTCAGCTGTGCTACTCAGGAGGCTGAGATCTGAGGATCAAAGTTCAGTGCCAGCCCAGGCAGAAAAGTCCATGAGACTCTTACCTCCAATGAACCTTAAAAAGCTGGAACTGGAGCTGTGGCTCAAAGTGGTAGAGCACCAGCCTTGAGTAGAAAACAGGGCCACGCCTAGGCCCTGAGTTCAAGCCCCAGTACCAGCAGAAAAACAAGTAGATGGATGAATTATAAATAAAGCGCCTCCTGAAGCTGTTTGAGGAACTGCGGGGTGTTTGCCCCCCGCATCGGGACCCCACGCAGCAGCCCCGATGCGTGGGAACGTGGGCGGCAGTGACCAGCACCGTACATGCGACTTCTAGAATCTCCTAGAAAAGGAAACCTGCTTAGGACCTCCGCCTTCCCGTAACTGCTTTTATACCATGTTTTTAAAGCAATCTGGTGAGTGCTGACCCAGTCAGAGACATTTCTGTGTCGTTCATTCTCACCCGGGCTTCTAGAAAGCACGTGGGGCCCTGGGGTGCAGGTGATTGTCCAGCCAGCACGGGAGGTTTTGTTTTACGTTTACATTTGGTCTTTTTGTCTCTCCATGTCCTTTTTCTCTCCTCCTCCTCTCTGGTGTGCTGGGGGTCGGGGGTCGCTCGTGGCTCCCGTGGGGGCCTGGGCCTGGGCCCGGAGCGGGGGTCGGGGGTCGCTCGTCGCTCGTGGCCCCCGGGGGGGGGAGCCTGGCCGGAGCGGGGGTCGGGGGTCACTTGTGGCCCCCGGGGGGGGGGCTTGGGCCTGGCCAGGGCTGGGGGTCGGGGGTCGCTTGTGGCCCACGTGGGGGCCTGTGTCTGGCCCGGAGCTGGGGGTCGGGGGTTGTCCAAGTGTTTCTGTGCTTGTTTTTAGGAGCTTGAAATTGTGATTGGAGACGAATACATTTCTTTTACCACGTCCAAAATCGGTTCTCTTATCGACGTAAACCAGTCAAAGTGAGTACGTTAACTTGGCATCGTGGATTCGGGTTAGGTTAGAACTGTGCTCAGGGCTGGGCAGGCGGCTCAGTGGTAGAGCGCTCGCCTCACATGCATGAAGCCCTGGGTTCGATGCCTCAGCACCACAGACACAGAAAAAACCACAAGTGGCGCTGTGGCTCAAGTGTCAGAGCACCAGCCTTGAACAAAAGAAGCTCAGGGACAGCGCCCAGGCCTTGAGTTCAAGCCCCAGGACTGGCAAAAAAAAGGAAGAAGAGATTCATTCTCCTACAGTTCCTACCCTGTCGAGATTGTAAATTGGTACACTGTTTTTTTTTTGGTACATATAACTTGGTAATACGCTTCAAAAACTGTTAATACATGTATTTACCTTTTATGGTAATTTCATTTCTGAGTATCTGTTCTAGAAAAGATTGTCAAATATTGGAAAAGCTTTCTTGTATGAAGCCACTCACAGAAGCGGTGTAAAATTAGAAAGACTCCAAGTATCAGACAGGTTTAAAATGTTCAAATTCATAATAGCGACTTTTTTTTTTTTAGTACTATGGAAAAGTTAATAGTTGAAAGGCACATGAAATTATTTTCGATATGGGAAAAACCTATTGTGTAAGGTTGGTGGCATTACAGAATTAGCAAGATTGCTATTGTTTTCTGCGTAAATAGAACTTTCCATAAGGACTTGAACACATCAAATGGGTGAAAACGAATCCTAAAGAAGCGATCTAGCAAAGATGCGTCCGAGAGCCGCACTCACGATCCCGTCTGGGTGGCATCAAGATTCTGTTGTTACAGATTCTTTTTAAATTTATTTTGCTTTAGGAATTTATAAAATGCTGTTTGGCTTTTTCTGCCGCAGGGACCCGGAAGGCCTCCGAGTATTTTACTACCTGGTACAAGACTTGAAATGCTTGGTTTTCAGTCTCATCGGATTACACTTCAAGATCAAACCCATTTAGACCGTGTGTTTGAAGATGTTTGTGTATTTAATTAGGGGATGGGTGAGAGAGGGTATTTTTTTTTTGTAATTTGGGGATTTTTTTATTAATGTGGAACAAAAACTATTCTTTTGTATGTGAACTGAAAACATGAAAATAAGAAAACAAGCTGACTGGATTTTCTTACTTGGGCCCAAGTGGGTTAGACAGACCCCGGACCCATATTAAATTCTGTAAATAAAAATTTCTGTCGGGTGAAACTTTGCGCTAACAAAACAGGAAATGCCGAGTGAGTGTGTGAGTGTGCATGCTCACGCACACACGTGTGTGAAGCCGCTTACCCGATTCAAAGATAAGAAAATGTTGCTGTATCTACACGTAGCAATATACCTCCGGCTTTCCATCCATGAAAGGGCTGCTGTGGTAACGCACACCTGTAATTCTAGCGACAGAGGAAGGAGACCCACAAGGCTGAAGTCAGTCATGGCAAAGGGAGAGTCGCTCTCAGAAAGAAAATAGGAAGGACAGAGGGAAAAAGGGAGAGAGGAAAGGAGTGGAGGGGGGAGGGAAGGGGCCCTGGGAGAAGCCACTGGCCATGGGTAGGTGCAGTGTGCTTTATAGCAGGTGGATAGTTCTGCGTCTGGGCCTTGGGATTGTTTTCCATTTTCAAAAGCCCTCGTTAGGTTTGCAGTGGTGACTTCGGTCTGGGGGAGGCCCTGCCCACCCGGAGGGAGGGACTCCAGGAATTGGGGCCGAGCGGAAGGGTTTGTCCACTTCCTTTGACACTCCCCGGATGGTCTTTTGCTCACATTTTCCTGTCATTGCATTTCCAGGTAATTTTGTAGTTTACCCACAAGATGGCAGAAGCACAAGCCAAACAACTCCAGGCCCTGCTAAGTTTGAAAACGAAGCGGGTGGAGTCGGGTGAAGGGCGAACCATGGAAGATGCCCCTGGTCAGTACGTACTGTCCTCTAGGTGAACGGGCTGAATGGGGACTCTGAACACAACTAAAGCATCATAGGGGCTGGGAAGGCGGCTCAGTGGTAGAGCGCTCGCCTTGCATGCACGAGGCCCTGGGTTCGATTCTTCAGCACCCCATAAGCAGAAAAAACCAGAAGTGGCGCTGTGGCTCAAGTGGTAGAGCGCCCGCCTTGAGCTGAAGAGCTGAGGGACAGCGCCCAGGCCCAGAGCTCAAGCCCCACAACCCACCAAAAAAAAATTATACATAAATACAACAGAGTTTTGCTGCTCAGAAAAAAATACTGTTTTCTGTAAACTACTATTGAGAATATCAGTGGACTGTCACGTACATAATGCTAGCAAAACACACTGATTGGTAAGATTGCCAAGTCCATGCTGTGTGCCCATAGCCCAGGCCTGGATCCCAGCTGTTAAGAGGCTGAGGTCTGAGGATCGGGTTCAAAGCCAGTCTGGCAGCAAAGACTGATCTCCAGTGAACCACAAAGTGGCGCTGTGGCTCAAGAGGTAGAGCCTTGAGTGAAAGAGCTCAGGGACAGCGCCAGGCCCTGAGTTCAAGCCCCAGGATTGGCACAGGTGTGTGCATGTGCACACACACACACAGACCTGGTAAGCACTATTTTCCTTCTTTGCCAGGGCCGGGACTTGAACTTGTCTCTTAGCTTTGCACTCGAGACTGCCACGTTACCATTCGAACCACCACTCCACTTCTGATTTTTTGGTGGTTAACTGGAGATAAGAGTCTCACGAATATTTTTGCGGAGGCTGGTTTTGAACTGTGATCCTCCGATCTCAGCCTCCTGAGTAGCCGGGATGACCGGAGTGAGCCATCGAAACACATACCGTGTCCCAGCTTTGTGCCAGTAACCGGCTGGAAGCTGGCTTTGTTCACCTGACAGCACCAAGGTGCTCAGTACTGTAACACAGAGAAGAGGAAGAATCTAGACCTGGAGGTCCAACGGAATGAAACCGAGGACTTGTGTTCATTTTGAATCAGTTACTTTTGTGTAGGTATATTTTATATATTGTATGTATTTACATATGTAAAATTTACACGTGTAAATTTGCATGCCATTTTATGTGCAAGCAAATTTGTAAATGCAAACCGTATCCACATAGATTTGCAGATGCAAAGTCACACCCTTATACATTCACATTCATATTAAATCGCATCCACACAAACCCCCAGGGTTTCAATTGGTATAAATTTGCATATGCAAGCTCAGTCGGTATAAATTTGCGTGTGTGATTTTGTGCAGAAACTGCCTATGTGTATATAGCATCCATATAAAGCTAAGCTTTAGCTTTGTTCTTGGATGAAGGGAAGAAGAGCAGGCTTCCACTGCGATGTGTTATTCTCTGGGCTGGAAGAGGGGGCTGTACGCCGTGAGCTCCAGGCTGACAGGGATCAGAAAACAACTCTGAGAAATTGAGGAGGATGTGAGAACAATGTTTTGACCCAAACAGACAAAGCCTTGGCAGTACCTGGTCTGGAACATTCTTTTCAATGAGAACCTGGGGAGAAAATTGTGTCTGTAACACTATGGTATTGCTGTCTCGTGAAAAACAATAACGTGGACTCCAGCTCTGGTTGTGTGTGTGTGTGAGTGTGTGTGTGTGTGTGTGTGAGTTCTGGGGCTTAAACTCAAGGCCTGGGTTCTGTCTCTAAGCTTCAGTGCTCAAAGCTGGTGCTCTACCACTTAAGCACAGCTCCACTTGTGGCTTCTTGCTGATCCACTGGACATACCGGAGTCTCATGGACTTTTCCGCCTGGGCTGGCACTGAACTTCAATCCTCACGTCTCAGGTTCTGACGTTCTGGGTTTTATTTAATTTTGATCATCTCAATTCTTTGTTCCAATGGTGCTCTATTGGAATTGTTTATCTGACGTTAAACCGCATGGTTATTCTACCACACTAGATGAGATTACACCACAATAAGGAAACTGGAGTGTTACAGAGCAACTTCCACTGGATCAACCTGCACTGCAAATCCTTCGTTCTAATTCACCAGGAAAGCTACAAAAGGCAGGCCAAGCTGCTGGGCATTACCAGCTACTCAGGAGGCTGAGATCTGAGGATCACAGACAGTTCCAAGCCTGCCTGGACAGATAAACCAGAGACTCCTATGTCCAATCGATCAGCAAAAGCTAGAAGCCCTGAGTGAAAAAAAAAAAAAAAACAAGCAAGAGTTCAATCTGCAGTACTAGTGCACACGAACTTTCCACGCTGATGCATTTACACACGCATAGATTTGTGTTGCATCAAAGCAAAAGCAGAATCTGTGGGAGTCTTCTTTTCCATGTTACTTGAACAATAAAAATTGTTCAGCAAATATATATGTTATATATATATAATTTCTTGTTGCTGTCAAGGTGATGGACCGACATCAGTCAGGTCATGAGCACATTTCTTTTTGGACAGTGACCCCTTCCCTTGCTCTCTTCCCCCTTCTCCTTCCCCACCCACAAGTTGTAGAGTTCACCGCATCCAGAGGGCATCTGCATCCATTTCTGCCCCCCCTTTTGCCCCCGAAGAGACAGGTACACGACCAAACAAGACAGAAATCCCAGGAAACAACCACCACCACAACAAAAATCAAAGCAAAGTCAAACACCACCGCCCTCGCCACCCACGACAACCAAAAAAACACCCCCATTTCCATTTCCTGGAATTTGTTTCCATGCAGTCTGCGAAATAACCTTTAACCAGAAAGTTCTAACCTTTAGGAGACACTTTTCAAGCGGCAGACACGGTGGGAGCTGCCGGTAGGGCTCACTGCTCGGGGTTTGGGGGAGCAGGAATCCCGGAAGAGAATCTCTTTTTGCTCTCTTTCAAGATGGATGCTCGGCACCGGCCGGCCCTTCTTCAGGCTCCTCTGATCTGAGACCTCGCCTGGAAATCGGGCCAGCAGGGCCGGGCCAGCAACATCTTACGTTATTTTTCTTTTCTTCCCTCACAGTCTGCTGCTTTTCCTCTTACAGCAATATTCACATTGACGCTGCCAGTGGGTGAGTACAGTAGCTTCTACTTGAAGGAAGGGAAAGCTTCTTTTAACGTACAGGTAGCTGCCCTGTGCCTGGCCCCCGACTCAGATCGTACCAGACAGAGGCTGAAATGCAAGCTGTGGAGGGAGGCAGCGGCCGAGGTTTGATACACACATGGTGTTTTCTACATTTTATTAGATAAACAGTAGTGGGGGGGTGCATGGGAAGCTTCTTTGGGGGATTAATTTCTTGGGTGTTGCAATTTTCTTTTGGCTTCACTGGGCTTCCAGAAATTTCTTCACCGATGATACCTACTTTTCCTTCTACACTTTTATCCAACTTGGGCAATAATAGTGACTGGGTTTGTAAGGGGAAATGACCATCATCATCACCATTATGATTGTTAATTATTATTATTACTATGGCATTCGTCTATGGCATCGAAAGCAGTATTGCGTGTCTTCGGTTCTGTGTCTGATATTTACAGGAGGTGAATTCTGTGGAGGAGGGTGAACCGTCAGGAAGGATGGATACTGTTATAGTTCAATCACTTGCCATTTCAACAGCAACAGCAACAAGTCAGTTAAACTATAGAGTGCTCTTGCTGGGCCTTGGTGCTCACACCTGTAATCCTGGCTCCCCCAGGAGGCTGGTCGCTGAGGGTCCTGATTCAAAGCCAGCCTGGGCAGGAAAGCCTGTGAGACTCGCATCATTCAATGAACTACCAAAACCCAGAGGCAGCTGTGGCTGACGTGGTAGAGCACCAGCCTTGAGCGAAAGAAGCTTGGAGACCACACCAGGCCCTGAGTTCAAGCCCCAGGACTCGCTGTGTTTTAGACGTACAGAGTTCAGAAAGCAAGTTAGGCTTGTTTTTCCTCTTGGTTCTTCCTTTGAAGTCATGCATCAAGTTGCTTGGCTGTTCCCATCTGGGCGTTGGTTCGGGGTTGTATCGCTCGTTTTAATTCTCTGTGTATTCTGATTGCAGAATTTTTTTTTTAATCAGAAGAGGCCCCCTATCTGGCACTCTTGAGATGATGCCAAGCCATCACAACCGAGCCAAAATGTCCCGGAACAAACCAGAAACCGGCCTCCAAGAGGTGAACTACGCAGAAATCAAGTTTGCGAACTCTCAGCAGAAGCGAAGACAAGGCAAGATGGACCCGAGCCGGGCGGCAGCACGCGAAGAGCAGATCAGTTATGTAGAGCTGAAGTTTCACAGAGCCCCAGAGAGACAGCCCAGCAAACGGGGCGATCAGCACCCGCGCAGGGAAACGTGGCGTGATCCGCACACACGCCCAGGTACGGAGTTGCGGGTGGATGTTGTTTAAACATACATAAGAGTTTGGGGGGGGGGGCCTTGAACTCACGGCCTGGGCGCCGTCCCTCAGCTCTTCAGCTCAAGGCGGGCGCTCTACCACGTGAGCCACGGCGCCGCTTCTGGTTTTCTGGTGGTTTATTAGAGATCAGAGTCTCGCAAGCTTTCCTTCCCGGGCTGGCCTTGAACCACGATCCTCAGCTCTCAGCCTCCTGAGTTGCTGGGATTCCAGGCGCTAAGTGGATCTTGAGTTCCAGCAGGAGCTGGGGTTCGGGGTGAGGCTCACTCTGTGAGCGCCAGGCAGACACGCTGCAAACCAGGGGCACAGGAAGCTGTCCTGGGCCCCCAGTGCACGCCGTTGACCTCCGGGAAACAAGAACACGAGATGATTGTGTGTTTGCTTCTGCCCTCAGCCCCGCGCTCTGCCCCCTGGAGAGCAACAGCCGGAATCCTGGCCGCCTCCTGCATCCTGTTGACGGGGACAGTGGCTGTCCTGCTCACACGCTGTAAGTCCTTCAGAAGTTCCCGGGCACCAGCGGCTCACGCCTATCATCCCAGCGACTCAGGAGGCCGAGATCTGAGGATCGTGGTTCAAAGCCAGCCCTGGGCAGGACAGTCCGTGAGACTCTATTTCCAACTAACTACCACAAAAAGCCCAAGTGGAGCTGTGGCTTAAGTAGTAAAAGCTTTAGCCTTGAGCAACATAAAGCTCAATGGCAGTGTCTAGGCCCTGAGTTCAAGACCCGGGACTGGCAAACACACATACACACACACACACACACAGAAATTGTTCTCGCTTCGCCTGGTATGGAGAATGAATTTCCCAGCCGCGACCATCACATCTAAAATAGGACTCATGACTTACTGCCTTCTTTCTTTTTTTCCCCTTACAGTATTTTCTAGACAAGGAGAACAAACTAGAAAAGCCTTACTTGATCCTCAAATTTCCCCTAAAAATGAGGGTAAGTATTTCGTAAAATTCACTTCAATACTTGTTTTTTTCTTATTTCCAATCCTGGGCCTTGAACTCAGGGCCTGGGTGCTGTCCCTGAGCTGCTCTGGCTCAAGGCTGGCGCTCTACCACTTGAGCCACAGCGCCACTTCTGGCTTTTTCTGTGTCTGTGGTACTGAGGAATCGAACCCGGGGCTTCGTGCATGCAAGGCGAGTGCTCTACCATGGAACCACCTGCCCGGCCCCACTTCAGTACTTTTGACCACTCAGAAAATAATTTTCCCCAAATCCACAAACTCATGAATCACAACATAAATACAGATTCTCACATGGGCTAAAAATGAGCCAGAAGTTGGATGCTGATGGCTCACAAATATCGTCCTGGCTACTCCGGAGGCTGAGATCTGAGGATCAAAGTTCAAAAGCAGGGCTGGGCAGGTGGTTCCGTGGTGAAGTGCTGGCCTCGCGTGCGTGAAGCCCCGGGTTCGATTCCTCAGTACCACAGACACAAGCCAGAGGTGGTGCTGTGGCTCAAGTGGTAGAGCGCTCGCCTTGAGCACAGAGAGACTCAGGGACAGGATCCAGGCCTTGAGTTCAAGCCCCAGGACTGGCAAAAACGAAAACAAAATGAAGTTCAAAACCACCCCAGGCCAGGAAAACGCATAAGCTAAGCGGGAAGAACACAAGGCCCTGCGCTCCAACCCCAGTAACTTACAAAGGAAAAAACCCACAAGCACTCCTGTAACATCTCTACGTTTTCTAGAATGTTCCTGCCACCCTTCCGCACGGAGCTGCTTCAGGTTTGGAAGTAGCTCCTATCAGGTCTTCGATCAATGGACAACATGGGAGGCGAGCTCCAAGGCATGCGCAGAGCTGAACTCTCGTCTTCTGCAGATAGACTCGGGGGAGGAGCTGGTGAGTGAGGTTGGGATCTACGAAGATTATCCGCCAGTGCGCACGCCTGTCATCCCAGCTCCTCAGGAGGCTGAGATCGGAGGATCCCAGTTCAGAGCCAGCCTGGGCAGGGAAGTCCTCGAGACTCTTCTCCTCAATCAACCAGCACAAACTGGAAGTGGTGCTGTGGCTCAGGTGGTAGAGCGCCAGCTTTGAGAGCAAAAGACAGTAGTGCCCAGGCTGTGAGTTCAAGCCCTGGGACTGACAAAAATAACCAAATGAAAAGGAGCAGACCCTTCTGCGTGGGCAGCTCTGCGTGCTGACTTGCTTTTTGTCACACTAGGAAATCTTCTCCACCTTGGAAATAAAAGGCTGGATATCCTTCGAAGGGGTGCGGAGGAATAGGACCGCGTTCTGGGCGGCTGAGAGGCTGGGGACGCAGATCGTGTGAGTTGGCACAAACTGTACTTCGCTCAGCGCGGAGGGATTGCGGGAGGAACTGACCTGCGCACAGCGCACAAAGAGCATTCCAGAACACAAAGCCGTTAGGTTATCTAAGAAGTGTGTGTGGGAAACAATTAGGAAAAAAACAAACTATCATCTATCATCTAATAGCAACATCTAACGTCAGGCTAGAGTACAGCAGTAGACCACAGTAATCTCTCGGGTAATAGTAATAGTAATAGACTACAGCAATCTCTAATCCTACACTTGTGACTTTTACGATTTGAATTGATGTACTCCTTAGAGAAGTTTGTTCATAGCTTTTTTTTGTTGGGGTTTTGTTTGTTTGTTTTCTGGTGACTGGGTTTGAACTCAGGGCCTGGGCGCTGTCCCTCAGCTCTTCAGCTCAAGGCGGGCGCTCTACCACCTGAGCCACAGCGCCACTTGCGGTTTTCTGGTGGTTTATTGGAGATCAGAGTCTCATGGACTCTCCTGCCCGGCTGGGCTGACTTCGGATCTCAGCCTCCTGAGTAGCTGGGATTATAGGCGTGAGCCACCTGAATCTGGTCTGTTCATACTTTTGTGCACACTTATAAACCTAACCCTAGTTACACGAGCAGGTTAGGTCTAGACAGGGGTTCACACTTCCTTTGGCTCTTGCTGGGTTATGATGAAAAGCCATCGGCCTTCATTAAACCGCAGTTTGTTCCAGAAACGATTTGGTCTTTTGTTTTCATGCAGAGTAAATGTTCAAGAGTGGACGGAGCATCACTGCCCTTACCTGAAAGGAAGTTACATCTACCCTAGGACATGTTCGCTGAGTAATGATTATACCTGTGAGTGTCGTGCAGAAGTGATCAGGGAGCCGGGCACCGGTAGCTCACGCCCGTAATCCCAGCTACTCAGAGGATGAGAGCTGAGGAGCGCGATTCGGAGCCAGCCACGGAGACAGCCCGCGAAACCCGGGTCTCCAACCAATCACCAAAAAACCCGGACGCGGAGCTGGGGCTCAAGCGGAAGAATACCAGCCTTGAGCAAACGAAAAAGAAAAAAGGAAAAAAAAACCCTCAGGGGCAGCCCCTAGGCCCCGAGTTCAAGTCTCAGGGCCAGCATAAGAGCCAGCAGACCAAAAGCACCCCTGTGTGACCCAGA